CATTCACATGTAGCGGTGCAACCCTTTGTGCAGTTACACGAAATTAAATTTAACAATAATTCAGGAATCAGATAAACTTGTATTGGTATAGGCAATAAATATCATTTGTTTTTGGCCAGCTCCATTCTTCTGGCGATTTCTTATTTCCGAACCACGCTTGAACTTGGTGGTACACTCGAAAAAAGGTTCTCTTGTAGCTGCTTCAGAAGGTGGTAGTCCTAGTAGCACATTTTTATTATTCGATACGTTTTTAGCAAAACATTGATAATGGTAGATATTAAGGTTTGTTTCTTTTTCACTGGCATTATACACTGCAAGAATAACAATTTTCCAGCTTAGATACACAATCTTTACTTGCATTTGAGTTGTAAAATGCTTTAATTGAAACCGTTTTTCAATAAGTAAAGCACTGTATTTTACTTTTTCTATAAAACGATGAAGTTATGTCGCAACCACAAAAAGCATGTATGAATAAAATTATTTTTTTTAATTCCTGTGGTGATTTTAAGCTTTCGTTTGAATAAATCTTTCTGTCAATTTTACCTTTTCCAGGTTTTTCAAAAATTTGATATAATTAATAGATCAATATCTGCACCAACTACAATAACAATTTTATTAGGTAAAGAAAAGTCGATGGCGGTGCTTATAATCAAAGTATCCGTATCGTCTAAAGCTTGCTATACAATATAATTCGATTTTTCAAATTTATTTGATAGCATGCTAATTAACCTACTTTCATTTTTTTAATTTGTTAAAAATAACTCTTGTCCTACTGAACATTGCTTTGCATTGCAATAATATTTTAATTTTATAAAATATGTTAATAATAATACATATACATAAAAATGACAAATTGTACCTTGTAAGACAATTACAGACGTCGTTAACACACAGGCTTCCAATACTTTGATATTTCATGTGTGATTATTTACGTAAATATTGTTCCTACAAAAAAATTGTCAAGGATCTTTTTTGTAGACAATTACGTTTTCTATAATAAAGTATATAAGTATTTAACTTCTAATCTTAAAATAAAACGAGTTATTTGTAAAAACTAATTTAATTGACATATAGCGTGCTCTAGCGGAGCGCGCAAGCATCCCATCTTAAGGGACTTCTAGTATGTTATTAAGGACCCTTCACTTAAGTTGTGTATCAAAATTCAGCCCTCCATTATTTTTTTCCGATATTTAACGAAATTGGGTCTAATTTGCCTGGGCTATCTGCCGACCTATTTTCATCAGTGCTCCGCATCTCATACCAACGAATTGCGGAATACAAATTCCGGGGGAAAAAATCCCCAGATATTACCCACAAACACACGCAAATTATTGAACACATTTTTTTAAAACTGTAATTCGTGTAGTTAACAACATAATTACTATTTAATTACAAATATACACTTAAAAAGTGTATTAAAATATACTTAGAATGTAGAAAATGTTCAATTATTACAGCTAAGGATTGAAAATTGAAAATTTTACGTTTCCCATACAATTTTTACGATAATGTAAATTTAATATTATTAGGGGGTGTTTTTGCAAGTTTTTAAAAAAGTTTTTTGTTTACTGGTCCATTGTCGGAGGGACTACTTTATGAGAAGTTGAACAAAAATATAAATTATGCTTTGCCTTTAATTTCTACACTATTTCGTTTTATTGATTACACCCAAAATAATGTAACTGAAGGTTGTTTTATATAAAGAGTTAAGAGTATTCCTAATTAAGAGAAATCTGCTTACTAAAATAGGGATTAATAAAGATGTGACAAGGATAACAGGAAAAATGGTCTATGATACTAAGCACAATAAAGTAATTGGTTTTGTTTTGCCTCTTAAAAATGGTTGTCCACTGTATTATTCTTTTCCAGCAACTTTGGCAAAAATAATAACAAATTACTTTCACACTGAAATTTGAGCCAATTATGGTCATAATGGTACAATCATAGATGACACGGCCACAAAATGGTATGTTGCAATTTATGGAACACATAATCGCTTCACAAATGAAGATGTAACGAGTCGCTGGAACTTCATGAAACTTACAGCCGCTTGTCAGGGAACTGAAATTACTGGTTTCTCATCTGTTAGAGATACACAAGTACTAAATGCAATGCAATTACAAAGTTTATCCATGTACGCTAGACAAAATAATTTAAATGTTGATGTATTGAATAACACAATTGAAAGAAGTGAAACAACAAATTATTAGTCATGGTTTTCAATTAGTCATCCACCAATCGTATTCAAAGATTAAACTAACTGAGAAATATACATTCATGATACATATTGAAACTTAAGTTGGATTTCTCAAATCTAATATTGTTCTTCCAATAGCAAAAAAAACTTTTATTTCTTCCTATTTTACTCCTGTAAATTATCTTATAGAATTAACAAGAAGCCACACTAAAGATAAACATTTACTAACAATGACTGACTTTAAACCAGAACACAAAATGAATCTTCAGTCTATTGAAATTAATACTGAATTGTTACATAAATATTATACAAACTGAATTAAAAAATGCATCTTCAAGTATTACTCTTTAACGAGAAAATAATATTGTAAGTCTAATTAATAGGGGCTGCAACGATGCTAAATATATGTCAAAAAATCTTGGAATGCGTATAAATGATAATATAGTTTTGATGCAAAGACCTCTAGTACTAAAAAATCTCTGTAGATGAAAATCATACTGAAAGAGAAATTTTTGATGAAGAATCGTCATATACAAATGTAAAGTTGTGTTCAGCCCAAGCATCTGGAGATCATTCTTCAGAAAAATTAGAATGTTATGCTGCTGAAGATTTAGAAAACTTATTAATTCTGGAAAACTATCGAATGGGACTTAATTTAAAAGTTTTAGTAAACAATTTATGAACGATGATGATTTGAGCATTTATACAATATCTATTAATTGACCATTTTTTGAAGTAATATTTGCTAATATAACATCAATGGTAATCAAAAAATCTTCACTTTTGGAACAGCCACTTGACCGAGGTAGTGATAGCTTAATAAGATGTATTAATACTTCAAATAGTAGATTGAATTTTAGGCCGGAATAATCACATCAACCTATTTCCTCTAAAGAAACACCGAAAGCAAAAAAAAAATTTCACATGTGAAGCCAGTGTGAAAAATTCTATTGGACAGTTCCTCACCATCAAGTGACCAACAATAAATTTTTCATGATGGGGTCCTAGTTCTAAAGCTTGCGTGTTCATTTACGATGAGGATAATGTGATCATTTTCTCTCGAGACAGAGTTGAGAGTATTGTTTACGGTATGCTCATCACAACTGCTGAAGTCCACAAAGTAGGCTTTTCCGAGGATGAGGATGGTGTATTTTCAAAAAAATGTCATGTGCACTACACCCATAAAAATATAACTGAGTGTACCAGGAAATATGAATGATGGGCGTTTAACATGTAACACATTGAAGCTGACATGACTTATGCGAGAGAGACAATGTGTGGTTTTTTATGGATCAAAAAATATTTACATATTATATATTACTTTATGTAATTGTATGCCTATGCCCGCTATCAATGAAAATAGTGTGATTATGCTTACAGCGTCTTTGGTAAAACCAGACATTTATATAGTCATATTAACCTCACATATTCTTTCATATTCAGTTATTCCTGGTTTACTTATTTATATGACTATACACCCGATAAAATATTATACATGTTACTGAATATCGTAAGGTCATTTTGGATATCTATTTAGTTTACGCACATGTGGCAATTGATAAATATAGCCGCTAACCTAAGTTATTTTATATTTACACTCTTTATGATATCATTATTACCGCACTGCCGTTTTGGCTTTTTATGTTGTGGCAGGCAAGTGTTTGTTTTGTTGATTAAGTCAGGTTACATTTTTTGATTAACTCAAGAACCTAATCGTGTCTAAAATTGTACGTACCATTAAGAATAACTTTAAGTGTCCACATCGTTTGAAATGTTTAGTTTGTTACGAAAGCTTTATTCTATTACTATTTTATTTTAATTTGATTTACCAAAATAATCCACTTGATTACTAAATTATAATTTAAAATACGGAGTATATTTTGACATTGAACAGGCAGTTCTTTTGCCCTCTAATCGTTAATAACCTGATCATTTTAAGATCATTTTATCAGATTAAATTTCATTACTTTTGTCTTGTACAGTTGTGCCATTTTTGTTTGTCGATACTAAAGAAAATACTTGCATATTATTACAATTTCATAATATGCTAAACTATAAAATAACCAAAATAAGAATTACAGTTAAAGACGGAATGGTTTGGTATTTCACACTATATCCACGATGAAAGCAGAAAGCCTGATTATGATGCAATTGTTATGATTCTTAACTAATATCTCTTGTGTAATTATGACATGACTTAATATAATGAATTGAAGAGTTGAAATAGTTAATAAATAATGGTATTTCAGCGAGTATAACATACAATTTAACTAGAAATCTAGTCTTGATTATTTTAAATCAATTTTTAAGTTAACATTTCTCTACATTTACTTTGTAACAGTCCCGTATAATAAGTTAAATTTTGAATATTTCCAATTCAATTTAATGCTCATAATATGTTCTGTATAGGAAGTAGACAACGCTAAAAAAGATTAATTGAACAATGCATACTTACCTATTAAATATTTGTAGCTGTTTTAAATTTGTTAATATTTAATTATTCATATGGGTTATTAGCACATTAGATTTATTTATGATAATTTGATTTAAATAATCAATAAATCATTATTTATATTTACGATAGTATTCATGATACTTATTTTTAATTAAAATTTCAATTATTGATATTTCACTTTTAATAATGAAACAAATTTTATTTTTTATATGTTTGAAACAGTATTAGTTGTTAAATAGTGGAAAACTAAAATAAAAACAATTATTTAAAAATATGTATTCCTTGAATGACGTGAACATTGTATTTCTAATAATCTAATCTCATCATAATAAATGTTTATTTTTTCAGATCGAGAAAGCATACGTATCTCAAAAAATATATCGATAACTTATTTTACAAAATCAATATCAGATGTATAGTTTCGTTGACAAAATTAGCCCCAGAAGATATCGAAAATTATAAATTGTAAGTTTTTTTTAATATTTATATAATATAATTAGCCATTATGTACTAGTGAATAGCGATAATACGTTAACTGAAATTTGAGAAACAGAAGTCGAATTTTTTTAAAATTTAACGTAGGTATAATCATAGCTAATTCGAATTTTTTTTCAAACCAAATTTTTAAAGATTAAAAGCTTTTTAAAATATATAATTTTGATACAATAATGATGAATAATAAAAAAATATGTTTACCCCGAAAGTGAGTTCTGAAAGTCTTTTTCGTAATTAGTCAATATATATAGTATTATTACGACGGTTGCTTATCTTCAAGACGAACAATTAACATTCCGGTTAAACCATATTTTAAATAGAAGATTGGATAGACCCCACACTACAATATAGTTTTTCAACAACATAATATATTTAGCTTTTAATTAGGTTTAATTTTCGAATTTGAAGCTTGGTACAAACGACTTAAGTAGGAAGGGTCTAGTTTTCATTAGGAGTAATAATTTAAAGTTTGAAAATGTTGTCAAATCGTGAGTAAATTACTGAGTGACTTTATGTGGTTATATAATTTGATACTTGGACTAATTCAATTTACTTTAAATTGAAAGAATTTTTTATGACTTTAGACAATAATATCTGACTACTACCATAACTTAATACTACACTATTACCGATTGGTGTTATTGCTTAGTACAACAAAGTACTAAAATTCATATACATGAACAAATATAAATAACCATCCTCGTATATATTTCAAGAAAACCAAAAAAAAATTGTTTTATTTCCAGCAAAAATAATGTTGAAAAATTTTAATACAATAATATTAACTTAATATTACAAATAAAACAAATTAAACTTAAATTAACTTTTGTAGTAGGTAGCCAGGAAAGAAGGTACAAATTAAAAATTGTGCATGATAGTCTTTTATGTTTTTAATTTGTATATGATATAATATTTAAATATTTAATTTACCAACCAGAGGGTATTTTGGAAACGTTTTATTTTAAATTATATAACCAAATAGGTCTAGTAAAGTTGCTATAATATACAATGATATTGTGTTTTCACTCAGTAAGTCATATTAAATAAAGATATTAAAATCATAAATCAACTCATGTGTATTGTACAACTGAAAATATTTATATTGTAAAGTAGTTTTAAAATCGTAACTTGACTTTTGAGTATTAATTTTCCAAACATTATATTTTAAAATATTATGTTATCATAAGTTAACATGAGATAGTTACCAAATATGTAGTACCAGATGATAATTCAACGATAGTAGTTAACCATAATACCACTTAATTTGAGAGATAACTGTTATAAAATACGACTTAAGAGTATTGTACCAAAAAAATCAATTTTTTTCTGCATTTTTCAACGTATTAAATAAAATATGATTAGTTTTGACTTAGGTTGTCTGTAGTAGGTATCAAATTAATAACACCACTGGTGGGTTATATTCAGATGTAATTTATACTTCAAATAACTAATTGTATAGAACCCTTTTAGATTCCATAATTAAACACAAATAATAGGTACATTTTTTAATTCAAGAATGTCATGAATAATATGTGTTTTTCTCAAAATACTTATTTAAGCTTATAATTTTACTTAATTTTAGGAGCTTAATTAAAAATAAGGAAAATACCGCCAAAGAAGAGATTAATATATCTGAAGATGATAAAACGTCTATAAGCGATAATAAGTTAAAAAATGATGAAAAGTCCAAAGACATCAAAACGTCTAAAGACATTAAAACGTCTAAAGATATTACAACGTCTAAAGACATTACAACGTCCAATGATATTTCAACGTCCAAAGACATTACAACGTCCAATGATATTTCAACGTCCAAAGACATTACAACGTCCAATGATATTTCAACGTCCAAAGACATTAAAACGTCCAAAGACATCAAAACGTCTAAAAACATTAAAACGTCTAAGGATAATAAAGCATCTAAAGAAGATGCAGATGAGCCTGCTAGAAAAAAACCAAAACTGGATACTGATGGAAGAGACATTTTGAAATTGGTATTATCTAGAGAGGGTGAAACTCATAAATTTAAATCACAATTCAAATCTTCATTAAAACTTAATAACGAAATTGCTTCTACCAGTACTGAGGAGGTACCTATAGTAATTGATTGTGAAGAATCTGCCGAACCTGCAAATTCTTCAGCTAAAAATGAAGAACAATCGATCTTTGTTATTGATGTTAAAAAAATGATGGATGAAGATAATTACAAAAAGTGGATGAAAATGATCAGTTCGGACAAAAGCCCCAATCATCAAACAAATCCAGCGAAAAAGTCAACAGTTGCTAAACTTCCTATTAGTGCACCTAAGGCAAATGTAGGTAAACGCCCTGTAAATAGTAAAAGATATGCAAAAGAGCATTTATTTAAAGTCGAAAACTTATATAACAAATATTTTAATAAATCTGTAAAAGATACTATTGTGGTTATTGCGAATATACTTAACATCATTTCAATGTCTAACAAACATCACAAATCACGAATGGATGAATCTTTTAAGAAAAAAACTGAAGCCGAAAAACTTAAAGAAAGATGTGATGCTAACCGTGTACACGGAAGGCATAAAAAAATTCTTGAAACAATGCTGAAGAGCAATTTTACAGACGTCGTAAAATGTTTTGTAGGGTTGGATTTTGATTCAGCATTTCAAATGTTTTTTTTAAGTATATTAACTGTACTTCGAGTTTTGGATGAGCCAAAATTCAAAAAAGGTAGCATCTTCAAAAATTTAGTACTTTTATTATGGAATAGTTTAAAAAACAGCGATTACAACGATTCCAAAGTTTTTACAATGTTCCGTTCAAAGACGTTTCGACCTGAATGCATCGATTTAATCAGTCTAATTGAAGATAGTCGGGATATTGACCCGGGAGTCACCGATCGAATGTCATTGTTTTTTGTATCAACAGTAGACAGCCGGGAATGTTTTCAAGCAGTTATTGATGCTGTCACCAGTGATTCGAACGAAGATCTGGGATTATTATTGAATCACTCTATCTCTCAATGTCGAGCTAATTCAAAGTTTAAAGATACTGTTGATTCCTCAACTGTACAACGTTCGAATGCTAAAATACCAGTGACAGCAACTATTCAGAGCCCTATCAACTCTGATGGAATAATTAAGCACTGGTTCCTAGCCAAAAATCCAGATGGAACTTACCAGTAAGTTTTTTTTTTATATTTAATTTCTATTATGGACTGATTAGTTGCCATAAAATATCTGATTTAGACAATATTAGTATGTTTAAACCCTTAAACAAGACTGTGTTTATACTGTGTTACGTTTTATTATCCCCCCCCCCCCCTCCACACAATTTATTGTCACGTATCAATAACATTGAAACGATTTTTATACATTAAATATACTATATTACCTGTTGCAAATATATATTTAGTCTACATATTATAATAGTATTTTTTTGGGAATTATTACTTTTATTGTTTGAACATTTTGTCACTGCTTAATATCCACCCAAAACCTCGATGACCAACGACTCAGCCAATCATAAAGCGCTTGGCGATCATCTTTTTTTTTGTGGGGGGGTAGGGTCAGACAGTGATCGGCTGTTCAGTCTAAGTACAGTAAGAAATCGTCTATAATGACGATCTATAATGTTCAAGGAACCAAGGAAAATAGGTCATAATAACCGAGAGTCATAACTACTGATAAATTTTAACATGTAAACCTACCTATGCATATTTTCGTGTCTTTAATACGTGGTCATAATACCTGTTATGTCACTATAACCTATGTCATTATAAACAATTTCTACTGTATTAACATTTCTATAAATGGTACATTTTAAAAATAATTTGGCTCTTTTGAGCTATTTATTAAGCTAAACATATTTTTATAATTATATTATTAAATTGTGTACACACAATGACATTTTTAATAGTATTTTTATTTTTGGCAAACTTAATTTAGCATACTGTATTACTAATATTAACTGGTTGTAAAATAAATTACTTTTATAGTACTTATAATATCATAAGATATACCTAATAGGCTTATAAGCTAACAAACAGACCACCTCCGCTCAGAATCGTTTTTCGTATGCAATGATTTATAGCTGAATTCAAATTGAAAACATACATTACAGTGACCTCATTCATTTTGAGATACACTTGACACCTACCATAAAGTTAAATGACTTCTTCAGTTTTTAGTTTTCTAAGATTTGTTTTCTTTATATCCCCATCTGTTGAATCAGCATTATATAATTACGATTGCCTAACTTATTTATTTCAGATAATACAACAGCATTATTATTTAATAAATATATTATAATATAGTAACTATTATAGACTACTAACTTCCCAAATTCATAGTTATATAATATCAAACGTAGTTGTTAATTTATATTATATTTTATGATAATTTTCATCTTTAATCACATCTGTAATAGTAAAATAAATTTTGATTAAGCTGTAATGGCTTATATAATATGTACTTATTATAATTATTCATTAAATTCCTGGTTTTTAATATTAACAATATTTATGCCAGGTTGCATAAAAAATGTATAAATTTAAAAGTCAATAAAATTTGATGGACCAATTATTGGCTACTAAATTATTTTTAAAAGACCATTAGCTCGCTATTGTTTCGTTGAATATTTAGTAATTGTTCATACAATCTGGCATTAATATCTTAAAGAATTGAAACTCATATTTCATACTACTTCTTACTAGTATAAATATTCCTTACTCCTCCAATGTAAATATTTATTGTAATTAAAATATGAATTTCAGTATTAATGAGTTCTGTTATATTTTTAGACAAATACCAATAATAAATGCCCATAAATCCCAAACCATTGGTAATACAGCAGGAGAACAATCAATTGGAACGAGCCAGCCATTAAATAACTTCTATCAATCATTCACTTCTTCACTGCCAAAGACAATTTATGAACCTTCTACTTCTAAAATGATACCAGCAAATAAATGCTTTGTTGTTGGGCCAACTAATTCCCATGTTCCTTTGGTACAAGTAAAGGGATCATTGTCAGGAGCTGCAACATCAATACCAACAACAACAACATTTGTGACATTGAAACCAACAATTCAGAATAAAAATTCCATGCCAAACAGTTCTATTATAACAGCTGAAGGTGGCACTATTCTACTTGGTAACAAACAGTATCAATTGGTTAAGCGGCCCTTGCCATCAGGTCAGATGAGAACAATAGTCAATAATAGTAATATATCAGTTAAATCACCTCAAACTCTTTTTACCAGGGTATGTAAAATATATCAGTATTTAATTTTTACAAATACTTATTTGTATAACATAATATTATACCGATACGGTACATAGATGATCTTTAAAATACTCTATTATAGCACAAGTTTAAAATATTCAAGCTATCTATATAATATGTTGAAGTACCATACTAATGTATTGTTGTATTTCATGTTTGCGGTTTTGAAAAATCCAGGTTCTTGTACTATAATAGCATCTATTTTTTTTTCCATCAATATTTATAGTAGCCTAACTGAATAAAAACCAAATCATTGATGGTTTAATGGTTAACTTACCAACAAAATTATTTAAAATTACTACTAAAGAAATGACTTAGTCTGAAATTCGACTATCAAATGATTCCGTCCACGATATTTTTTTAATAATCTGGAAAATGAGAATTTTCTATTATACTTTCATTATTAACTTCTTTTTTCTCTAAATTAGAATCACACTTTTTCCTATAAATTGTTTAGGTAAAACCTATTTGAAAATTTTAAAGTATCAGAATCAAAATTCGAAGTGAGTAATTTTTGAGTTATTGAACTTTGGGTTCTAAGAATATTAGGTGCAAGATATTGGTTTGGAAGATTTGTATCTATAATGATATGAAAATTATAGTAATTCATATCAATCTATTGTCATTTTATTATTTGTACAAATTATATAAGTATAATCTAACTAACTAAAGGTTTCAGTGTTGGGGAGTAATGCAAATTACAAATAATATCTGTAACAAAATAACCCTTACGGTGGCGCTGTAGTAATTTCAGTATATTTTATTTAAATCAACCAAATTGTAACGAAATAACTTTTTAAAAGTAATTTCATATAACTTATATGATATAAGTAACCTGTTATTTTCCATGTGTAATTTATCCAACACTGTTGGTTAAAGATTATATATTGCATTCAATAATATATACATTTGTAAAACCATATTCTTTTTGTGGACAATTGTTCTTAATATATAATATATTTTCAAACTCAGAAACTACAATTTTGAATCTTATTTAAAGACATCCAGCTTATAAAAAATGATAACAATTTTAATATTCTAAAAACATCTTTATTATTTATGTTTTTTAGTGTTTTGCCAAAAATTGTAACAACCCTGCAAAAATAATGTGCAGTACCTGTACATCAGTAAAATACTGTAACCATACGTGCCAAGTAAGAATATTTGAATATTTTTGTTAAATAACTAAACTGTTGTGATATATTATAGTAATGTCTTTTTTCTTCTTTTAGCGATTGGACTGGTATGATAGTCATATAAATGACTGTGAACGAATGCTAAACGAAAAAACTCATCCTTAAATTCTCCTATACGTATATAAATAATTTCAACGTGGTATATTTGTATTAAAGTGTTTTTCATAAAAACGTTTTTATTTAAAAAAAAAAATGGATTATGTCTTTATATTTTGATATTTCTTAAATTTAACATAGTTAAATCACCTATAATTAGATTTGTAATTAAGTTTGTATAATTCCAGTTGATTGCTATTAAGTTTAATCTAATATTACTACATACTTTTTAGGGTCTTGATGTTCTTTTTTTTTTTAGTACCTCAGCTATTGTTTGTTTTTTTCCAAGCAGGAATCACCAAACTTTATAACTATAAATTACATATTTTTTATGTGATATACTTAGTTTGTAAATAAATAAAAAAAAACTCATTCAAGAGAGACTGAGTAGAATAGGCCTTTGGTACTGATCCTACTATGGTATGTTAAGGATACCAACACAGCCAAAAAAAAAAAAAAAAATTATGAAGTGTGATTGACACGTCAGTTTTACGCTATTTAGTAATAATATAAATTATTTATGTATATAATATAATGTATAATGTTTCTTAACTTTGTATTTTAATAAATATTAAGTTTAATTTTACTTGCTATTGCATTTTTTTGAAAGTAATTTTTTGTGAAATTTATTTAGGATTGATTTAATAATTGCTTTTAAAAAATAAAGCATAACAATTAAAATTATAGTAATTAGAGTTAAAGTAAGTGCTTTTGGAACTAATGAATAGCATGATTTTGGATGGATAAATTAGTTAAGATTCTCACTTCTTTAAAAAATTGTTTCTAAAGAATTGTATTGAAATAGATATTTCTCTTTAAAGCTGAAACAGGTAATATTAATATTATATTATAATAATAAAGTAGAAATCGTTTATAATGACACTGGTTATAGTAACAAATCTGGTTTTATGATCTTAAAGTAAAAGGCCCGTAAAAATGCATAGGTAAGTTTTACTTGTTAAATGTTATCGGTAGTTATGACTATCGATTCTTATTTCCTATTTTTTTGATTCCCTGTACGTCATTATAAACCATTTCTATTGTTTTTATTTTTGACTATAATTAGGTTCTGGGTTAGATTTTGCCGAATTGATTCAGAATTTTTGTAAACGAAATTTAAATATTAAAAAATGTACACTAAAAGAATTTAATTACTATGTATTACTTTAAGTCTTTAACTGTTAGCTTATCTTTAGGTACAATAATGATAATAACAACTACCTATTGGTATGTACTATGACACTCTATAAAAAGTATACCTAACTTATAATAATATCAATTGTCCTTGGGTAGGTAAGCCATTTCTAGAGAGGCTAAATAAGAATTCGAATACTTCTGATGCAAACAACGTTACGGGATTGATGGTTCACACAGAGTATAAAAGTTATCAACCTTGAATCAACAACTCTTTTCCAAGACAGCAAGAAAGATAGGTTAGGTACATGATAAGAAAGGATGAAAATGGGTTAATAAAAAAATAGAAGTGATACCATTATAATGAGTTTCTCACACCAAGTGTGACGACCATACGCTCTTGCACGGTGGCTGTGCTTATAACCTCGAGGCAGGACGCTACATTCGCTTCAATTGAGATGCCTCTAATAAAGCCAAAGTAGTTCGGAGGCTCCTCATCGGTTGAATGTCAAAATGACTCTACAGCATTTGGACAAGTAATCTCTATTGCAACTTGCGTGGAGTATCCGAGAGGCATATCAGCCGGTAAGTGAATTGAGCATCCATGGATTTTCCTAGGCCCTTGTATAGGAACACCGGTTTTGCCCTTTTCCAGTTGGCAGCAAAACATATCGCTCGGAGACATCTGCTTGAAAAATATGGCATAAATGCTTGGGAATAGCCATAACTGCATGCCGCAGAACCTCTTTAGGGATCTCCGATGGGCCCCCGACCTTGCTCACAGAGAGACTTTTACATATCCATAAGGAGACACCCATTTTGTATCAGTCGCATGTTTTCCTACCTATGTCTTGCATGGATGCTCTCAGATACTCACCTTATGGACAGTATCAGAGTAGGATTTTCTTTTCTGTAAATATATGAAGGAGTAATGCACATATAACACTGTGTACACCATTTAAATATTGAGCAAGTATAACGTACATTCGAGTAAAAAGAGGAGGTGAAATTTTAAAAGTCCTAACTCCTATCCATGTCTTAGAATTTCGTAATATATCCAAATATATCCATATAAATTCCAAAAATTAAAATCCTTTTTGCCCCTGGAAAATGATCAACTAATAAAAATAATTCTTCGTGCTCTTCAGATGGTGAATACATTTATGCATATCGGTTATTTCTGGAGTTGTGAGATCTTTGGGTGCTTCTGTTACTGCTTGGATATTATTTCGTTTTATTCGAACTTGTTTTTTTAATGAAATATATATTTAAAAAAATATATCGACGTTTTCTCTTGACTGACCCTGTTTGATTTTGTCATTTTCTATTGCAAAACCTAAAATCTCTATTACTTGCCCAATCTTAATGTAATTTTGCAGACATTTCAACTCTACATCCAGTTTGGTCAGCATATCGGTCCAGTTGTTCACTTCCAATACAGAGTCATCCAAAGAACTCTTGACCAAAGTACAATATTTCTTTCAGTACTACGTTCATATTTCTTTAAAATTCTCCTATCTGCCCAGGTAACGTTATCTTAAGTTATGAACTCCAAATGGTGTTCTCGTGATCTCGCCCGTGTTGTCTAGAGTGATGAAGGAGTCTTATCTCTCAATTTATTCAACAGTGACATTTGAAAATATACATTTTCAAGATTCAACTGAACAATCAATTGCCAGGCTACTTGTCTGCTTGTTCGCAAGCTTGTAGTCAGTCACTAGTCTCGACTTTCCTCCCTTTTGAGGAACTAAATGCACAGGACTCGCATAAGGTGATCGCGTTTCTGTGACTACACCACGCGATCTTATTGGACGGTTATTTCCACCATAGCCTTACAGCTCTGCCAACTAAACTTTATACAGTCTACACGACACTCTACTACCCTATTCTTCCCTACTATTCTTCCTTACGAATTTCGGCCATGTCAGTATACAAATGTTCGTTTCGATTGCGAACGTGTCTCTGCATGAGTACAGCATGTATCAGTGTAGCAACAACAACAATTTATTCTTTCCAAATCTGTTGCTCCCATGTGTATGTTCTAAAATTCTGCCTCAATCAACGGATTCCCGATTAATTACTCGTCAACATCTTTCACATGATAACTGCGTCAGTGCTATTTACCAAATCCATATAATCTCCCAGTATAGTTATGTAGTTATTTTAAATTCACTTTATAATTCAGTCGTTGTTGGTTTAAATAGTATGTAACATAGGGAAGGTACAATGAGCTCCATGTTTTTCAAATCATCTGGTACTACTAACACTGTAACAAGTCCAGCTAGAAACCATTGACTATTATGCTCTCTTAACCTTTTTTTAGCAGTTGTTGTAGTTGGTTCGGTTATACTACCCACTCCGTACAACAGTTGCTCGTCGTACTCTATCGCCGACCCAACTCTTTTTTCTACACTATGTTAAATAATTGAATAATGTGAACCAGTATCTAAGAGTAGACATCATCTTGTACGACAAAAACTTTTAAGTGACAGTGTAGCATAAAGACCGAATTCCTTGTCGCTGTCACATTTGCTTATACCTTGCTCCCTTCTGGACAATCCCTTTTTATGTGAACTTTACCATTGTAGCCATAACGAGTCAGCTTCTCTCGATATTGAATAAAATGGGGTTCAATATGGCAAGTTTTGTGACAAAACCAGCACTCAGCCTTTTACCGACTTTTCAATTCTGCATTAGTTGTAGCAGGTTTGGTAATGGTTTGGTTTGATTTATATAAAACGTCAGTGTTCACTTTATTATATAATTGTTTTCTAAAATATCTTTTAAGCAATGTTATTTTTTTGTTAAGGAGCAAAGATATTTAAGTGTGAGAGCACATGTCTCAACGTCTGTGTTATTACATTTATTACTAACTAGCTGCGGTCACCCTGTCTTCACCCGGGCCATCAGTCGATTATCTATGTACATTTTATAGTTTTATTGACCTACAGTTATTATATTATTAGCCTTTGTCTTTACTACAATGATTTTAAGTAAATAAAGAATTGTTTTAAATTAACCTGATATTAAATAGAATGAATATCCATCCTAATTAAGAATTATTCAATTACTAAAAGAAATCTGAAATGACAATGTCTTTAATTAATATTGTAAATATAGTTTTATAATACAATATATTTTGAATTAAATATTTATTAATTTATATATTTTGATGTGGATGGTTTTGGTTCTTCTTTTTTCTGTTCTGCTGTACTATTCAAAGAAACTGAAATTGTTTGCAATTATAATAAGTTTTTTGAAAACTATAAATTAATATTATAAAAATAATTACCCTGTCATTTCAGAAGGTATTACATTATATGTAGTTGCAGGCGATGGTATTAAAGCTAAATATTGTCTATCGCGAAATGCATTAGTTCGAGCTTGTTCTATTTTAATATTCATATCTTTTTCTCTAAGTAATTCATCTATATTTTCATTTCATAAATTCATTCCTAAATCAGGTTATAAATCGTTGAACCAATTATTATGAAAATAGTAATTATATAATTAATAAGAAATCATACACTTTTGTTATTTTTGTCCACCAGAATTATTTCATTTTTATCATAATCGTCACCATGTAAAGATATTATACTTTCAAGTTCTTTAATTTCCGTAATTTTTGCAATTATCTCTTAAAATAAATTGGGTTATTTTACAGTACGCATATCATAGTACTATCCTTACCAATAATGGCGTTTTTCTGTTTATTAAAGATCATATTAATATTCACAAAATTGAATGCTTCTTCTCCTTTTTCCTTTGTTGTATTCCTTTATTTTTGTACCATTGTGTTACTCTGCATAATTTATTTAATTAATCAAATGATAATATTTTGAAATATTTGATTACTTTACTTTTTTCTTCTTCGATCTCAGAATTTATTATTTTATTTATATTTTTAACTGTAAAATATATTGGGAGACAATCAACAGATCAAACGAAAAGGAAAAAGATTGAAATTCCGAATGAAATAAACAATAATGGCATTGAAATACAAGAAAACTATACAAATACAGAAACCAAAAACAAACGTACAAAACAAAAGGCTAACAAGGATAAGAAAAATTTAGAGAATGAAGCATTTCATTATGATATAATACTATGACTTATAATAATCATCGTGTTTCAATTGGTCTAATGAATGTCGAATGTCTCAATTGTCACGCATTAAAATTCAAGGATGAGCCCAATGGCGTCTGTTGTGGAAATGTGAAAGTGAAATTACCTCCTTTAGATAATCCTACATATAATTAACATATTAACATATTTATCTGGTTCCACCAATGAATCAAAACACTTTTTGAATAACATCAGGAAATATAATT